TTAACTTCAAATTGATTGTCGTCTTCTACACCTTTAACACCTAAATAAACAAATTCTACATCTGCATTTGGTTTATCAAGCACTAATTCTGATTCATCATCTACTACTGGGGCATTTTTTGTAGCTGTTGAACGTTTTGGTTTATAGGTTAAGAAATCCGCTGGATCTTTTGGATTACGGCTTTTAAATGAAAAAAATATTTTAACTTTTCCATTGAATAATTTAATTTTAATCATAAATTTGTTTCCAACTTTGATAATTTTAATTTTCAAAAATTTATATTTATCTTTGCCACATTCGCCAGTCACAGTTGTATTTTCTGGAATAGGAGCTGGTTCTGAGCATACTTTGGATGTAAACTGAGCTATTTTTTGATCGAGTGCTGCATAATTAGACATTGGAAAATAGTTTTCGTAAGCCGGTGGTGTACAAGCAGCAGTTAATTCAACAAGATCAAGACTATTACCAATACCAACAGTAACTATATGAATACCATTGTCTTTGAGAACAGCTGCAGCATTAATTGTTGCTGTTTGATCATCACTTTGTCCATCTGTAATAAGAAATATAAGTGGTTGAGCACCTTCTCCTTCTGGCCGAAGACCATTTGCAGGTGAGAAAACAGTATTAGCTTGTTGAAGTGCTCCAGCTGTGTTTGTACTACCACCGATGAAGTTAGCTTTATTAACTTGTTGAATTTTCTGACGCAATTCATAATCTTTATTTAAATTTGTTAATGTTTGAACGTTAGTGGAATAATTTATAATACCAACATGAGTTTTATTTTCTCCAACATTCACTTTACTCAATAAATCTCTTACAAATGTTAATTGTAATTGGAAATTACTAGAACCTACGCTACCACTAGAATCCATAACAATGCCTAAATCCAATTTAAGTTCCTGAGAACATGTATCCAAACAACATATAACATGTGGAGGACTGTTTGGGCATTGCTCTCCTTTTCCACCACTACAACCACAATATTCACCTCCATCTTCTAATCCTTGTATGCAATCAGGTGTACACGTACCTTTATGTGTAGTATTATATTGACAAATCGGACCTTGACCAGGATACAATTCACCACCACCACATTGTGAATTATTAAGAAATTTTGCATATCGTAAAGTTGCATCTGATAGTTTATCTATACCACCAGTTAAATTATACCTTTTCAAGAATATATAATTAGAAATAAATAATAAAATCAAATAAAACTTACCATAACATCGAGAAACCATAAAATGTACCATCAGCATATTGTGTTAAAGCTGGTCCTAAAAATAAAGTGAAAAAAGTATAGATAGTCGAGGATATAATTAGCGATTAATATTAAGTTGAATTTCTAAAATTTAATAGGATTCTAAATTTACCAGTTAAGAAATTTGGTGTTTTCCAGCGTTGACCAGCAATTTGAGCTGAAATATTGATTAATGCTGCTAATTGTGGATTAGCTAGAATTGCATACTGTGGCATTAATGTTGCTAATTGTGTGTATGTTGTTCGTCCTCGAAAAGGAAAGAAACCTCGTTGACGAAATAGTGATCCATCACCTGATTGAGAATTTCCATAACTAAAATCGTCACCAGCAAACTGACCATCGGTGCCTTGCACTTCATCGATTTGAAAATCATTAGTCATTGTGGCTGCTACAGCTAAAAAGGCAGCTTTTGCTTGACAATTTGAACAAATACCTGCCAGATTCATGCCAGCGTTCAAAGCTACTCGAAGCCATGGAGCACGTGGTGTTGGATATAAAGCAGCGAAATCCTTTTCAGTAATACAAGGCGTTGCAGTGGATGTTAATGTTTGAGAAATACAACAAGTTCCTCCTTCACAAGATCTTCCATCTAATAGTGATCCTCCACAAGCATCAGGCGATAAACATTCTCCAGTCATTGTGGCATCATATTTTCCATAACATGTTTGGCCATAAGTGATGTACAAAGGACAAATGGCAAGAATAAGTAATAAGATTTTCATGATTGAAATAAGAAATAATAATGTTTAATGTGCATTTATTCTACTCGTTTATATACACGAGTTCTTATCAATTTTATGAAGATTAGTTACTATTTACCAAACATAATTTTATTATTTAGACATATGATGTATCACGCGCTTTAGACCTGCTGATATTGAAGTGCAGGGTTTATTTATGATTATATTTCTGTCACATTATCTTTTAGTTTTATGACATCAATAAAAAGAAAGAGAAAGTAATAGCTTGTTACGTAGGTTTTATGCAATTACAGTATTAGTCGAAAAAAACCCTTATGAAATATCGTTTGTGAAGTATTATTAACCGTTTAGTCTGTTTGATTCTTTCTGCAAATTAAATGTGATGATCGTAAGACTATTAGAACTCATCGAATTGAATTATGATATACTATTGTGATATTAAAAATTTATCTATACATAAATATTGAATTTTATACAATTGAGTTACTAAACATAATACTTTTACTTTACTTTAAATGTTAAAATAATATATCTAATCAGAGAAATATGTTCCATGACTTTTAACTTTTTATCAGATAATTAAAATTAGCAAGAAAATATATAAAATGCAAATAATAAATATATATCTAGGCAGAGTAAAGAACGAGTGGATTATATGATATCATAAAATCATCATTATTAAATATATGTGCTCTAGAATTGGTTCTTGCATTATATTTTATGTACATATATAAAACACAAAAGCCACTAGAATGACTTTGTTCGTCCAGCTTCAGCTGTGCAAACTAATAAATTCTAATTCTTTCAATCTATTGATCAATAATAATAAAAACTGTAAATAGCACTTGAAGTTATAAATATTTATTCTATTTGAATACCATTTTCTATTGAGTGAAATTCTTATCAAGTAAATATCTACAAGCCGTCTAGTAGCTTTTAACAAAATGAGTCTAATGGATATAGAATTTTGGCATCTTTCTTGCAGCATCACTTGTAGTTAAAGTTTCCTGTATATATGATATGTCTTCCGATAAAGATTAAACATACTGCAGCTAAGACCGTTAAGAGAAAATCTCTGGCATCCATCAGATAGACTCGAAAAGTGAAACAAAAGAGTATTTTTAGCATTAACCTTTTCATCAAAGTAACATATTTTAGTGAGATAAAATATTTGGTCTCAATATTATACGTATATAAGGGAAAACAAGTATTCGGTTTTTTGGAGGTACAAACGAAAGAAAAGAAATCATCTATTTAGTATACATGAGATTTTTTGTAATCAGCAGAATAGACAATGCCGATTACGAACGAATTTTTTTTTCTCTATAAAACTCCATCGAGATGCTATAAAATACCGACTCTTTCGCACACAACATCAAATAAAAATATACAGATAAGCTATCATAAACTGTTTGCGTGGAGACCATATTGTGTGTTGACATATTTTTTATTATAACAGAATTGTTTTATATAATACAAGATGGCTGCAACTATGATAACAAGTATATCATAAGACCAGTCTATCACTGTAAAAATAAAAAAAACAAAAAAAATTAATTGGTAGGAAAAGAAAATATAAAAGATTAGATTTTTACAAAGTTCTGATTTTTTAGTTTGAATGTGATACATTAGATAGCTTCCAACGAGTTTTAGAAGACAAGTATAGATGTCGTATTTATAATCATCTGATATTCTCATCCTTATGACAACTTGCATCAATATCATCTCTGTAAATTCTCGTCAAACGAAGCTTTATACACGAAACCTTGCTATAAGTTCCACCATGGAGAAGAATCTATTTCATTCAAAAAAAAAATATCATCTTCTCACTCGATAATCATATTATCTAATGCAACTTAAAAATAATATTCATAATATCATGTGGTGTCTCATTCATCAATGTTTATCTACCTGATAAAAATAACACATTTTTCACATATCTGTAACAACAACAATAACATGTGTTTACATGGTGTGGGTGTAGATTTTTGTCAATATTTAGTTTGCTTTTTATTTTTCACCTACACTCTTTCTTTCCAAGCATTTATTAAACTTCTCGATGATGGGTGAATGTGAGTGTCAGTACTTGTATGATGAAGAACTTTAAATTGTCAGACAATATAAAATTACGTATTTTTGCTTCAATAAATGAAACAAAATTAACCATTATACGATTACTACTTATCACAGAATTCATTGTTTAATATTCTAAAACATGAACATAAAAAGGGAAACTAATCATTCTTTTTCTTTATCTTCATATAAAATTCTTCCTATCTTAGATGTATTTTTACCATCAATATAAATAGAAATTACTTCAATAGTGTATAATCATGACCAAAACCTAGTTCAAAATTTTCTTCTCTTTTTAAATCATTATATTCGAATTTAATAAGAACAAGACACTCTTCAATAATATACTCAGATAAAATCAACTAAAAGTACAATAATATAATCAGAGTTATGTCCTGTGTATGTCTGATGATGTATGTTTTTCTCTCCGTCCTCAATCACGCTCAAGCTTGTGATACATTCATTGACCTCTCGTTGACCCGAATAGATTCTGATACATCTAAATATCAATAAATCTTGAATTATTTTATAATTAATTGACGGCATTCAATGATATAATCAAATTACAAATATCACTATATTGTGCCATAACTTATTTTTCTGTATAATATACACAAAAACGCCTTGCTGTTTAACATGAATTCTTTAAATAACAGTAGACGAACATAAAAAAAGTCGATAATTGGATTTTTCATTGAAAACGTGTCGATGTGGTTGATTCTTTAGCTCGTTCTGTCTTATTTTTTTTCTTCGTTTCTGTTTATCAAGTCTGTTGCTTAACAAAACTCGTCATATTACTCATTCTTTTTACTTTTACGTCGTATAGACGTTTGTTAAAATATTTTTCTTGTGAAGCTATCGACTTACATTGGTTATTTTCCCGGTTACTTCATAGACTTTGAATTCCATTAGTTTGTTATACGATAAAATTATATTACTATTTTTGTTAGAATATCATCGATATGTCGATGCGTCGTGACAAAACTTCACAACAACCAGACAAGGAAGTAAATAATGTAAGTATAACTTTATTGAAACGTTGTTTTCTAATCTTTGCTACGTGATGCAACTCAATTGCATTCATCCATGTTAGTACTCTTGACGTCATGAAATAAAAGAAGTCCTTCGTTCGTTCTTCCTATATAATTTGTTCAACAATATATTTAAATATTCTCTATTTCTAATAATTAGGACAAGCAACGAGTACGAACTCCAGCGAATGAAAGAGATGATCATTCACCATCAGGAGATAGACTAATTATAGATCAAGGTTCTGACGAAGATTGCGATGCAGCAAACAATCGAGGTACTTATATCTGTTAAGTCATATGATTAAAAAATGCGTTATGGTGTATAGTTTTATTGATATAAAAAAATTTCATAATAATAAAATGAATTTTTCTTTAAATTTCAGAACAATCTGAGGAACCCAATCGATCCAACGCATCACTATATCCAAAAATACCGTTCAGAAAATGTTCGAATTGTGGCGCATCAAATATGAATAATGAGAATGCAGATCAAACTGATGAAACATTGGAAGAACACTATGACAATGCTTCAACTATTCTACAAACACATATACCAGCTTCTAATGAGCTTCCTACTTCATCAACGTCACAAAATATGTCTCAAACAAATTTCAACAAAGGACAATCATCAGTGAATGAAAATGATCCTAGATCAATCGATTCTGAATCAATACCATCAATTAGTACAAAAACTTCCATTACAAATAACAAACCACCACCTGTAAAAATAAGAAGATCGATTATTTCTGTAGTAGAATTCGATACAGCGTTACAGGATGATTCCTCAACAGCAAATGAAATCGGTATGTATCGTAATAGAATTGAATCTGCTTATTATACTGAATGAATTGACATACAAATATCTAATACCATATAATTTTAGAATCGAGCAAGCCATCACTCGCACCAGTGGCGGAAGTACGCGATCGAGAAGAAGATAATAATACACCTGATAATTCGGGAAGCACCATTGGAGCCATTCAATCTAGAAGAAAAAATCAGTCCTCATTTACTCATTACTCACATGACGACATCAAACAAAATGATTCACATCCACCTATGTTCACTACTCAATCAAATAATGAATTATCAAGTGAAGATGAACCCTATATTGTCTACATACCTCATTTACCTTCTAATGAAGTTACAGATCAGGAACTTGAGACGATAATTCGGCAGTCATTAGATCGCCAATATAAATTACACGTGATCGATATTAAATGTAATAGTCAATTCGATGTTGGTGTTATATATCTAAAAAATAAAGAAGATAAAGATAAATTAGTAAATACTATTCGTCAAACATCAGTTACATTAAACTCAGATGAAACAATATCATTTACTATTGAATTCAAATTAGATGTCTATGTGGTTGTGACATCCAAAGATAATAGTGATCTTCCACGTAGCAAACATGTGCGTCAACAATGGATGCAGATCTATAATGGTAACTCTCCATTGAAATGTAAACGATTATCGAGTCAATTCCCAAATATATTTAAAATAACAATAGATAAAGTCGAAGAATTATTTACAATTACACCTGTAAAAGAGTTCCAAATCGAACATCAAACAGCCATTATTTATTATCAACCAGATTGCTGTTTTTTCGATACTTTACCAAAACATATTACGGAGAAGGACTTATACGCAGCAATATTTACAGAAATATCTCCAGTTAATCGGTCAAAAACACGTATTCATGTTTCTTTGAATAGACAAGAAGGCAGTGCTGTTGCGTTGGTATGTAATTCATTTGTAAGATGTACTTCAATTAATTTGGATGGACAAGTATTTAAAGGGAAAGATCGTCTTTCATATTTTCTTCGACTACATTCAGTACCTTCGCATATACTACCAACACATATCGAAGCTCAAGAGATTTTTGATGGTACTGTTATCAAAATTGAACTAAGTGACAATGATATCATTGTTGAATTGTCGAGTAAGAGCGTTTATGAAAAATGCCTTGAACAACGTGTTTTACGTATGGATAATCATACTATTAATATTACAAGTAATTCTTATTCAAGCAAAAATACAGATGACGATATTAATAATGTCAATTGGTATGAAACAGAAATGTTAGATGGAAAATCAAATATTATGCAATTTTTTACTCAACCTGAACATCGAATTTTTGGATTAAAATGGAATTGTCAAGCATTTTTAGACCAATTTCATGGTCGGTCGTCGGAAAATAACAATCATCAAGATACAATTAGTAATGAAAAGCGACATTTATTACGAATGACAGTAATGTTAAATACAATTGGTGCAGTAGAAAAAGGAAATTATTCTATAGATAATAAAAAAAATCAATTAAAACCAAATCAATTAAATACTATAGTCTACAATCATCGATCGAAATTACAACAAGAAATAACATTATCATCATCATCTATCGAAATTAAATATCCATATGAATCAACATCTGTTGAAGTAATAAATGAAGATTGCTTAATTGTTCACGAACAGTTGCTTTCTCGAGGTTACAATCCATTACTTCTCAATATGGCAAATGCATATTCACCAGGTGGCGGATATCGTAAAGGTGATGGTGCTCAAGAAGAAAATATTTTTCGTCGTTCCGATTATTATCGAAGTCTTGATATGGAACTCGATGCTGGACAACCAACTCCTAGATTTTATTGTACATCAAGATGTCAATTGGAACAACTTACTAATAATCAAAAAATGTATCCAATGGATGAATATGGAGCAATTTATACATCAGGATTAACAGTATTTCGTCAACCTGAAGATACAGGTTATGCTTTTATGGAACAACCTATGTTCAATGTTTGTGCTATCGCTATAGCTGCTTATCGAAATCCAAAATTAGATCATAAAAATTTTCTCACATCAAAATATATGATTGGTACACGTAAGAAAATTGAAACAATCTTTGGTATTGCTCAACATCATAAACATGATTGTCTAGTTTTATCTGCATTTGGTTGTGGTGCTTTTCGAAATCCACCTAAACATATTGCATTGATTTTTAAATCAGTCATCGAACAATATGCAGGATTTTTTAAAAAAATTTATTTTGCAATTATTGATGATCATAATACTGGTCAAGATTTAAATCCTCATGGAAATTATCGACCATTTCAAGATATACTTCATAATTTGAAAGTTAAACCTATGAGACATATGATGGTTAATATGATGATCGGACCTTGGCGTATATTAAATATAGCCAACAACAAAGAAATTAATTTAAGTGATGTTAAAATTTGTGATTTATCTCCATGTCATTATGGAGGTCAATGTCGAGATTTAGAAAATAAACAACATTGCCAGAAATATCTTCATCCACCACTATGTCCGCTAATGGATAGTTCAGGAATATGTCAATTAGATAATGATGATGATCATATGATTTTATTTACGCATCGAATTAAGCACTCAAATGCATCTAATAGTCGTAATGATGATCACTCATTGTTACCAGTTTGCCCATGGACACCATTTCATTGTCGACAATATATTTTACTATCGGAATCGACAAATATTGCTTCATTATCGTCAGATGTACAAAATCATTGTCGTGAATTTCGACACATCTGTCGATTTGGTCGTCAATGTCATGAAACATCGAGATTACATCTTCAAACAACAATTCATATTGCACGTGATATATGTCCCGACGGAAATAATTGTTCAAAAATCAATCAAGAGAATCATCTGTATTCATTTACACATTTAGACATAGCGGATATTCGTCGTCTATGTTATTATATTGGATCTGAGTGTCCAGATCGAGATCAAATTAAACATCTTATTCGATATCGACATCGTGGGAATTATGATCATAGCAGTGTTATTCCATACAATGGATCAAATAGAGACATAGATTTTATTCAAAATCAACAAGAAATAATCACAACAATTCATCATTATGCTCAACCTTTGAATTTAAAAACTCCACTTTCTATTTCACAATCAATTCTTAAATGTATTCAAAGGTTATCACCGATTTATCAATGTTCAAAAGAAATATTTGAATTAATACTTCTTCATGGTCATGTTATGTCTACTGAATATATAAAACAATTAATGGATTCACGTGTAGTAATTCAAACTATTCAACAAAATAAATTTATTCAGAAAATTATTATTTCAAATCAAAATCAAACAAATGAAGATCATATTCATAATTATATTCAAGCTATTAGCTGTGCAGAATTTAATAAAAGACTTCAGCGATCTTCATCTTCATCACCTGAAGAAAACTTTAATGATACAATTCGTATAGAAGAGAAATTTTTAAGAAATATAATAACTCGTAATGAAATCGATAAGATTCGTGATTTTACTATACAAATGATCGATGCAATACTAAATCTTTCAAAGAATATTAACGATACATTAGAAAAACATATCACAGCAATTTTAGCACCAAATCTACATCGTAATGATGAAGATATTGTTCTAGTATTTAAACGAGATGTTTTATATCATCCCGATGCAAATGTATCGATTCAATCAAAAAATTCATTCTTAGATGGAACGACTTTTATTGAGCGACCATGGATTAAAGATTCAGGAACATCGAAAAAACGGCTTGAACAATTTCATAAATCGTTATTACATTGTTCCATTCAAGGATATGATTATGCTTTAGCATCCGAACTATTAGCTATAACTGGTAAGACAAAAAAAACAATGGATATGGACTTAAATACAATTCTAACGTATATGAAGTGTACTTCTTCGAATCAATTATTCGAATGTCATTTGCCTGAATTAATTCATCTTGATTACATCGAAGAAATTTACATACCACATACACTTTATACTTCTCTTTCATCAGCAGCTCAACTGTCAGCGAAAACTATATTTGGCGATTCATTACATATTACACCGCGCAATGTAAATCAATACCAGGACTATGTGAAAGATGATTTGATGAAGAAACTTATTAAAAATATTGAACAAGAAGTGTCATTATGTGGTAGTATTATTACTTTACCACCAAGCCATTTGAAGAAATATACTATTCTTCCATTTACATTAGCAGATGATTCTGTATCTGATGATATTTTTATTTATTGGCAATCGATGTATGGTGATATGATGTTGGTATTATCAAATGAACCGATTGATACTTGTAACATTTCTCGATCTCTTTTATGCTATATTGCAGAAACACCATCAACAACAATAAATGATTATTGCGAATCATTTTCATATTTAAATTTTGATGATCCATTGCAACATGAAACTATTATGAATAAACGTTCTTTTCTGGCATCTTCAAGTACATTTCATCGTGGATGTAATCTTGATGATTATTTGACATACTGTTTAAAATTGAAGAAACCTACCGATGAAGTAACATTAACACATGCTGGACCGAATAGTATTTATAATGATGAAAAAATATCGTATAAATTCATTAAATCGGATCTTGATTTGAATGAATTAGTTTATGTTCAAATTAGTGCTAATTCACAGCAGGTACCTATTCGAAATTTTATGGTTTGTTTTAAACCATTACACGATTTACATCCACATTTTGAAAAAGATTTTCAACCAACGAATAGTTCTTCGAATCAATCCAGAGCACATCAATTAAATCGTCCTCATTCTCCACCAATACCCAGAAATGACAAGCCATCGAATGTTTTCTCTCAAAGAGCTCATTCTGATCGGAGCAAACTAAGTCTCTGTCGTGATTCAGTTAATTGTCTTCGACAAACATCAAACGATCATTGTAAAAGATATTCTCATCCTTGTCGATTCTCGGAAGTATGTTTAAATAAAGATAATGAACCTCATTTGACCCATGAAGTACGTCGAGTCGAGAAGTGTCCATTGGATAAATCGTGTAAACGTCTCGGCGATCCTTATCATCGAGCAGAATATCGACATACAGATCTTCCTGACTTTCTTTTTCCATGTCGCGATCAAACGCATTGTGCTCAACGATCAGCTGAACATCATCGAATAAAATATTCGCATGGTGAACAGGTTAACATAAGTTCGTCTTCAAACGCATCAAGAAATGATCATGCAACGCCTACTGAACAAACACCATGTCGATATGGATCAAGATGTCGCGATCAACACAATCCTCAGCATTGTTCGAAATATTCTCATTCATCTGGACAACAGCCATTATCACAACGATTCGATGAGTGATAATAAGACTTACCAGTCAAAATACCCAAATTAATCAAAATAAAAAAACTCGTACTGATATTTCGCTTATAAACTATTTTTTTTCTTTGTCAACACAAATTCTATTTTAAAACTATGATTAAATTTGAATGGCTTTTATCAAGTAGATATCCTTAAGTTATCTTTGTTGAAAATCCAGTGAAGAAAAAGAATTACATGAAACGATGATTGTATAATGCAACATGTTCTTAATCATTAGACTAATCGATCTGATAACTAATCTATTATTAGATATTATAAACTATATATTGTAGCATATAAAATCTCTAAAAATAAATCAATTAAATATTTTGTTTATAATTGAGAAACATCTTAAGTTGATTTATATAAATTATTTTTTTGATAAGTTTCTAATTCAATTCAATTTTTATAAATAATTATTATGAGAATTCAATAAATATCAGAATAAACAACAGTTCTTATCTGACATAGAAATAGTTTACAAATTTATTAAAACTAATAATCTTATTAAAATATGAGAAGACATTTTTTTTAATTATATAATTAGTATTTCATTGCTTTTTCACACTTTCAAAAAGTGTGTTCGTATTCATGTTTTATTATATTACATAAGTAACGATGATTGATTTTCATTAATTTGAAATTATTTATTTCGTTTTTATGTTAATAAAGATATTTAATATAGAAGAAAAAAGAATAATGTTTATTTAAACAAATAATCTATTTTAAAGATTGAAGCGTAAGTTTACTTGAAAATAGTTTTATTTTATTTCTTATTGTGTAGGTGGAGGTCTAAGTTTTTATGACGTTGCTGCTTCATCAACGGTGACTATGAAATCATCAATGATTTTTTGAATGTTTGTTTTCCATTCTTCCTTTCGCAATGTTCCCATAAGAAATTGAGTTGTAATGGTTTGTATATGATATTGAAACGATGCACTTGCTGCCAAAATCGTTGTGACCTATAATATAAATAAAAAAGATTAGTTCAAAACTTTGATCAAAATGTATGAATTAATGTAATACAAAGTCTTTAGGAGTTTCTGTTATTATTGCCATCGTATTTTTTTCTAACGAATAATGACTTGGGATCAACTGTATACTCAAGGGTAATATATAGAGTGGGGAATAAGAAAGAAAGAAAGAAAGAAAAGAAGGAAGAAAGATAAATGGAAAAATAGACGTCAATAATGTTGATTGTTTTAATTTAGAAAAGTCAATAGTTGGCGAATTTTTTTTTCTCTTCAATGAGCATCTTAGTCGTCCGTTAGGAAAAATAACGAATGAATAATCAACTGTACACAACACAAAAAACTTACCTTAATGTTATCCAGTATATATGTGGGAGGGTGTGTGTTTGATCTAAATACATATAAAATATAATTATATTTAATAAAACAAATTTGACTTATCTACTTACTGTCTTGGTACTGAAATTTGTGGAACTTCATTTTGTGCGTCAGTCTGTCTTAAGTTCCCATGGAGTTTAAGACAGCCTGTCCTGCAATGAGAAGAGATAGAAACTTATGGATGATACAATTTTTATACGTACATTTGCGTGCGATGCTCATAAACAGCTCCACACGAACAGGTATGAGGCATTTTAATCTAAAACTTACAAAATACTACATAATTATTCTTAATTTAAAAAAAGTTAATGAAGTATATCTGTGTGGAAACGATATAAATGTATTAGTGATATAAATAACTAGCCAGTCGTCTTCTATAAAAGTGTACATGTATTCTTTATTTTATTTTACTTGTGGATACAGATCTCCAACATTTATCTGATGGAAACGGAGACATACATGAATTTATCGTTCGATTGTTCTATATCCTCTATTAATACAATGAAACGAAAGAAAAGACGAATTGGATGATGTTAAAAGAAAGAAATTATTCATTCTTTATCTTTGTCTTAATATTTGGGGAATTTCTAAAACTGAAATAAATAAATGAATAAATAAAAAAATCTTCATAATGGACTGAGTAGAAAGCCTTGAAGATTTGTTTTTTAAGTAAAATATTATTTATATTCAAAACAATACAAAGTAGTTCAATAATTTAATATCAAATGTTCTTGACAATTATGTTTATAACATATTCTATTAACATAAGGATAAATATTATGTAAAACAAGTAACGCTCGTCTGAGGATTCGCTCAGCTCTTTCTCGTAGAAATGTATTTTCTTCAGATTTACTGGAAAAACAAAGTGAAAACCGTGAAAAATTGATTTTCAATGTTTTTTTGACCTTTCACCCACACCCATCACAGTCATATGAGAATTATCTATTAAAAGTTCTTTGATAATAAAAATATTATTGAAACACATTTTAATGTAAAATACGTTGTCATCTAGGTATACAATATATATGACGAAGCATAATGAAAAGAGTGGATATTACACGTTTGTACAGAAAAGAAAAGAAAAGCAAGAGAACAGTGACGTTGCATTTTCTCTTTATTTATGCCTTGTCATTAAGATGATATATTTCGTTTGTTCTTCCATCTTATTCTTACTTTTTTTTTGCTCGGTCATCACTACATATGCATATATATATTTCTTATATAAATAGAAGCATTTTTTTTACATTCCAGCATATACAAAATGTCTTCCAAGCAAATTAATATTTTCTTAACTGGTGCAACTGGTTACATCGGTGGTAGCATTTTAACTGGTCTTCTTCAACATCCAAATGTTTCAAATTTCAAAATAACTGCTCTAATTCGTGGTGATGAAAATCGAGTGAATAAAATTGCATCACTTGGTGTTATTCCATTAATTGGTACAAATGAATCACATGATATTCTTGAGAAAGCAGCAAGTGAATCACATGTTGTTATTCATACATCAAATTCTGCTGATGATATTCCATCAGTTAAATCTATTCTTAGTGGTTTAAATAAACGAACACAAGTAAATGGAAAACCAGTTATTTATATTCATACAAGTGGCACAGCTGTTATTTCTGAAGATGTTCGTGGTGAAAAAGGATCAAATTCAATTTATAGTGATCTTGATCCAAATAAAATTAATAGTATAGCTGATGATCAATGGCATCGTGATGTTGATTTGTTAATAATTAATGCAGCACAAGCTAATCCTTTATTGAAGAGTGTTATCGTTCTTCCACCTGCTATTCATGGTATTGGTACAGGATTATTTCATCGAGATTCTGAAACAATTGGATCATTAATTCGAGCTGCTTTAAAACGTGGCAAAATAGAAATGATTGGACCAGGTGAATCAAAATGGGGTTATAGTCATATTGGTGATTTAGTTGATGCATATATTCTTCTTCTTGATCAACTTCTTGCTGTTTATGGACCTAATGCAAAATCTGATGCAAAACCTAGTCCATATTTAACTATAGGACGTGAAGGTTATTATTTTACTGTAGATGGACAAGTTTCAGGAAAAGAAGTATCAGAAAAAATTGGTGAAATTCTTTATAAGAGAGGTATTCTTCAATCACCTACTGTTACAAGTTTTCCAGATGATGAAATAGAAAGTGCATTATTTGGTCCATTTAGTTGGGTTTTAGGATGTCAATCAAATTCAAAAGCTGAACGATTAGCTAAATTAGGATGGAAACCTCATCGACCTAATATGATCGATTGTATTGAAGAACAAGTTGATGCTATACTGAATGATACGAAGAATAAAACACTCATTCAATATACATACACTAAAAAAAACAATTCATAAACTATTTTGTATACTTTCTTTACTTATATTTTAATAAAACTATTACAAAATGAAACAAAAAGAATTAGTACTCAATAATGTTAGATTAGTAAATACATATTTTAGTGAAGTCTTAATTGCTAAAATAAAGGTTTGAAACAGAATCATATTTTGCTAGAAACTTGAAACAATCAGAAGTGACGTCCAAATCTAGAAGTCGAAGAGATTTTCTATGAAACCGTATTTCTACAGTGATATGACAGAAATAGAATTATTAAATTCTAAGATTCAAGTGTGATATTTATCTTATGAAAGATAGAAATCACTGATATTCTTTATTTTTTTTAAATGATTAATATAATTCAGCACTTTTCAAAAGGACAGTACCCGTTCCTCCAGCAAGTAACAATTTTCCGTTGTCTAATAAGGTTGCTGTATGAGAATGTCGTGCATAATTCATTCTTTCATAAGTTGTTGTCCAAATTCCTGTTGATGGATCATAAAATTCAACTCTATTTAGAGTCTCACTGCCAATTCCACCAGTAACTACTACTTGTCCATTAGGTAATACAGATGCTGCATGGCGACTTCGCGCATAATGCATATTATCAGCATTTACCCATGTTTCTGTTGATGGATCATATAGCTCAGCACTGTTAAGATAATTCCCACTATCCCATCCACCTGTAATCAATACTTTTCCATTTTTCAACAAGGATGCTGTGTGATAATGTCGTGCTTGGTTCATACTACCTGTCATTGTCCATGTTCCTGTTGTTGGATCATATAATTCAGCACTCTTAAGATAATTCTTACTCAATCCTCCAGTAACTAACACTTTTCCATTTAATAATACGGTTTCTGTGTGATAATATCGTGATTGGTTCATGCTACCGGTAGTTGTCCAAATGTCTGTATATGGATCATATAACTCTGCAGCATTTTGAATACCAGCGCTACTGTATCCACCTGTAACTAATACTTTTCCATTTGTTAATACGGATGCTGTGTGATATTGTCGTATATATTTCATGCTATCAATATTTGACCAAGTTTTTGTTTGGGGATTATATAACTCAGCACTACTAGAATCAATACTACTACTAGTACTCTTTCCACCAGTAATTAACACTTTGTTATTTGGTAATAAGGATGATGTGTGCCCTTCTCGTGACTGCTGCATACTATTTGTAAGTGTTCATTTTTCTGATGCTGAATCATACAGTTCAACCTTGTTTGTAGTACCAAGAGTACCTATGTTTCCACCGGTAACCAAAACTTGTCCATCTCTTAATAAAGTTGCCACATGATTTTGTCTAGAAAAGTTCATGCTACCAGTATTGTACCAATCTATATAGAAATATTTCAAGAATTAATTATGATATTATATTATAGTAGATTTTACATATTTCTTATCTATCTCAAAAATAGTTCTCAATCAATGGATGTACACCCACATCCAAAATTAGGAAAAAAAACAATGTCTATAACGGTTTGCTTCTCTCTGTGAAATCATAGGACTTAAGTAATTAATTCGATAAAAATAGATATTACAACACTAGAAGAACAATATCATAAAAGAGCAATTATTTTTTTAGATTAGAAACAGTAAGATATATCTTCAACAAACAAAATAATTGACTTCTTTAATGTAGTTTAATATATGTTTATGTAACACTTACTTCGTGGTTCAGCAGTAGTTGTGGTTATAGTTGTAGTTTCAGTTATGGTTACAATTGTAGTTGTATTTGGAAGCACAGTATTCAACGCTATTTATTAATATAAAATATTACTGTTAATAAGTTTAATCAAATTTCACATTCAAAACTAACTCATTGTAAAAATAAGGGCTCTTTACATATTTAAAAATTTAGAAAAAAAATGATTGACATAAAGTTTTATTCTTTTCTATCATACCTTTCAATGGTGGACAAATTCGTTGATCGATCATTGTTACTGGCAAACAAACTGGATCTGGATGACATCGAGGATGTTGTACACATATATGCTCAGGTTTATTACAAGTATTGCTTGAAGAGTCACATAAATCATATTGTGAACAACTCATCCAGAGGAAACCACATACACCAACATTATCAGAACCTACCATATTAAAACCACCACAGGCTGTATTTGTAGAGCATCGATCATATGGCACTGTTCCATCACATATGTAACAATGCACACTAAATATGGATAAACTAAATTTAAAAACGTTACAAGTAAGAAAAAAAGAAGAATTGTTGAGTGAGTTATTACATTACCTGAAAATAAGAAATAAAAAACAACGATTTGCGATCGAAACCATAGCTTACGTTTAAATGTGATCAAATCATCATCGTACTCTTCTTTTTATATAGAAAAAAGATACTATTTAATCTTTCAATGAATAGAAATTTGATATTCACCTACAGTTTTCTAGAACAATTAATTGTTTCATCAAAGAAATTAATCTTCATAAAAACAAGGACAAAATGACGTCAGAAAAGCACTAAACAATTTCAATTTTTCATTTTGCTAGTGATTATTATACGAAGAATGTATTTATATAGAAATGCGTAGTATATGAATATTATTTATACCGTCCTATTTACCGATAAAGATGTGAACTCACATATTTCGAATGAGAAAAATTAAATATGATATTTGATGCAAAACATTGGATATACAAGTATATATGGTTATCGATCTTCTTATTTGCGTACATCGGTATCTTATTTTAGTGATTTTTGATTTATTTATATCAACAATCAGTACATTAAATCAGATAAAATATTCGACTACAATAATATTTATTTATCTATAAAAAAATCGAACAGAATCGAACATCCAGAGCAGATGGTTCTCTTAGTTGACCTGCCTTCTCTAATTGTCGTTGGTTGTCTTCTGATATTTGATTATCAGTAAGAATTAAAAGTGTCAATGTTCGATTTCTATTGATCATTTCCAAGATACTGTCAACACTTTTATCTGTAATCTGATTGAGATCGAGATGAAGTCGTTCAAGAGTTCTATTTTCATCTTTTAAAACATTGAACAGACTTTTTGCACCATCATCATCAATTTGATTCCAACGAAGATTGAGAATTCGAAGTGTTCCGTCTACTTTTAACATTTCACTCAAGTACACAGCACCTTTCGATGTAATTTTGTTTTTGAATAAATCAAGTGTTTGACAGTTTCTGTATCCTTGTATTAATTCATTTGCGATTAATTCAATATCAGAATCAATGAGTTTCTCACCGTAGAAATTCCAGTAAGGTTCGTTTTTTGAGATTTCTATAAGGTCTTGAATTTTATTGTTTTGAGCATCATTTGCATCAGAGCTTTTATACGACATTTTATCTTTAGTTTCGAAAATGCCTTTCGTAACTTACTTGCTACACAATTCCAAAGTAAATATATTCTTTTTTTTTGTTTTTTATTACTAAAAAAAGTGACTCTGTGATGTAAGAAAAATATCCGTTCTTCTTTCTACAATGTTGTGAAATTACTTTGACGTTGTGAGTGCTATAACGAATGTGTCATTGACGAAAACATGTCGCTATGGGCTTGTCTATGCTAGAGTTGTATTCACAACCACACCCTCAAGAAAATAAAATGTGGATGTACTAAATGAATAGAATAGGCTGATCGACAGTTATTCGTATCCTCACGTTCAAAGTATCAATTAATATTGTACTATTTCGGATAATTTTTTTCAAATTCATCTTTGTTTTGAAATCTATGTAATTCGGTGCAGTTTGGTCCCTTGTTAATTCCTGATTGTTTGTTTGAATATAATATTCCATTTAAATGATCTGTTTCATGTTGCCATACTCTAGCTTGCCAACCCGATAATTTCTCGTTCATATGTTGAATATCTTTATCATCAACATAACTAATATCAATGTCCATATATCGTTCTACCATTCCATATGCATATGAAACACTAAAGCAGCCTTCTCTGCAAAAGTCTGTCGTTGGATTAGAAGTTGCTGCCTCCAATGCGTTTATAGAATCTTGAGATAGTGTAATTGGTTTATAAGTTGGATTAAATATAACCTTTATATCTCCATCACTACCAGTTGGACAAAAGAGAAATATTCTCTTATTTATATTCCATTGATTTGCGGCCATGCCTGCTGCTTTGCTATATGGAGCATTTGCACGTTGTAACTGTTGTGGTCGAATTGAATAAACCATATTTGCTACAATTTGTTTTGTTTCATCACTGGAAATGTCTGTTAATGACATTTCTTCTATTGGACTATGAAGTATAGGATCTGTTTCAGCTACCAATTGAAGTAATTGAGGGATGATGTCTTTAACATGTTCCTTTTCCTGTTGGGAATAACTTTCCGATGACATCGACTCCATACTATCTAAAAGACAATAAATTATAATAATACTAATGATAGATTACATTTTCTGAAAATCTAAATGTAAAAGAGATGAATGTAATGTAATATGAAATTAAACTGAGAATTGTTTTTCTCTCTCTTTTTCTTCTATGGACAGCTGTACTGTCAAATTATGTGTCTTGATCTTTTGCTCCTTTATATAAATAAAGATGTCACTGTTGTTCAAGTTATATTTCGTTAATATTCTATCTTCCTGATCACTCTAGATATTCCCTTTTATCCCAGCCTGCTGAACATTTAAAATGTGACCTTATTCTTTTTTTTCCGTGATTGTCAACCTAGTTATAAAGGGACAATAAAAATGAATATAAAAGAAAGCATTTAAGATTTACGTGCTTATCTATACAAATATTACATTGAAAAAAAATGAAAGAATATGTAAGAAATCACAAAATCTCGGTTTTATTCTTATGATAATCACTAAAATGAAAAAGAAACGTCATAACTTTGCTAATGACCACTGATTTACAGAAAACAAACAAAAAATACTGAATTAATAACCATCACAAACACTCATACTCTCAAGATGGTATATTAGTATACCAATAATATTTCAAATTTTTTTTTCATGAAATAAACATCGAGTAAAATTGAATATGAAAGCATATTGTAATCAGAGATGCCAGATGCTACACCTGAAAATCGGGAAAGATTTTGAGGGTGTAGGTGTCATGTGGAGATGTGGACATGGGTGTAAGTGTAATAAATAAGATACATCCACGCACACCACACTCACATCCACACCCACAGCTGATGTCGTAATATTCAACATTTCGGTATAGGATCACTGCTCCTAAATCCTCACGTTCACCAGCTTCCATACCCTCCAGATGGATCCTTGAGACTCTTTAGGATCTATCGAAATCCATAGGATCCATTTTTTCCCCCTGGGTACAAAATTTATCTTGAGAGAGAACTTCATTTTTTTTACTCTTTCATTATCTAAGATCTATAAAACTAAGCACGAGTATGAATGAAACTACTATCTTGTTCACAAAATGATTCATCCAGTAGAAATGTTTTTCACAAAAAAGAACTGTCTGCAGCAGAGATGGGATCGGTTCGTGTTTTTCTCGAACCGAACCGAACCG